CAGGTTTCTTTCTGACTCCAAAAACCAGTCTCTTTCCACCCACCATATTTTTCTTAAAAGGTAAAGGAAATGAGCCAAAAAAGGTAGAACGAATGTTGCTCCACTGTAGACTGACCTGGGAACATCAGCACTCTCCTGCTATCCATTGTGCCCTGACTGGGCTATGGACTTGGCTGGTGCACAGTGTGCCTTATTTCTGGTCTGTGAATTAGAGAAAATAATACCATTTATGGAAGGTAGTTGAAAAAATTGCTAATGAGCTTTAGGGAAGCCCTTGACAAATTAGAAGGGAACACAAATACAGAACATGAAAGAACATGAAAGGGTAGTATTAGAAACTGAGGCTATAAAGTTTATTTGGGGAAAACAAAAAGTAAAGAAAGTATTTTTTATGGTAGTTATTTGAAATAACAGAACAGTCACTAAATATGTCTTCAAACATAAGAGAAACAAAAGATTTATGTTTGAGAGACATTTTCAGAGATAGGCTGTCAATAATTAATTCTGCCTTAGTCTTTTCTTTGAACACAAATAATCACATCATTTTCACAAATTAAGAAGAAAAACGAATAACTAATAGGAAGGCCAGTGAATGTAACTGCATATTATTGGATCTTCTTCTCATATTGTCTAATTCTGCATCTCATTGTGGCTGAGAGAATTGTCACGGTTGCATTCTCTCATGTGGTGGTTTTCATACATGCTGTCTCCATTCCCCTGTATTGTCAGTCCCTCATTGTGTATATCAAAATCAAATGACAAACCATTTTGTTACTTTAAGGTGCTTATGCTGCTTATATTGTTCCACCTTGAAATCTCCAGGGGAATTTTATCCATCTGAAAATGAGTTGGATTTCACCAGCACATACCTAAAAAAGGAGTTAATTGTTATTTATCAGGGAAGTTGCTTTGCTGATAAGTCCCTGGAACTTTGAACTGATTTTAGTTTTACTCCAGAGCACAGTCACACATCACCACTACTACTTAAAGTAAAATGCATGTCAACCTTGAGGTGGGATCCGGGGTGGGATTTAGAAGAGAATCTCATGAACTAGAAGACTGATTTCTTCGTAGTAATTTTTTACTATTTTCTTATCTTTTTTTAAGCAAAGTTAAACCACCTCCTCAAATTTCACCCAGCAAGTCCATGGGAGGAGAATTTTGTGTGGCTGCTGTCTTTGGAACATCTCGATCATGGTTTGCAAATAATGCAGGTCTAAAAAGAGAAAAAGGTATGTATTCTAATTGAAGTTCACATTTGCCTTTGGTCATTTTTACTTCTTGAGGAACATTACTACAGATACCCTTTGAGAAGTCCTGAGCTCAGTAGTCTGGAACCCAATTTCTACATTCAGTTAGCATTTCTCTCCTCAGCTAATTAAGCCTAGTCAGGAAGGAAAGCTGTCTTTTCACTATAAACATGGCATTAATTATCCAATATGTGTTATTGCTTTATATGTTGATGACAGACTACAGGTGCTCTCAACACGATACATAAACTTTTACATTTTTACAAGCTAATATCATACCATTGTCTGATTAAAACTTTACAAAAACCCTTTGAAGTATGGAGAGGAAAACCCACGTTGCCCCTGTTTTAGAGATAAGAACTTGAGATCAGTGAATTTAAATATCTTTGTTAAAATACTTGTTAGTAGATAAAGGAATCAGAGTTTTAAACCAGATCTTCTAATACTAAATCCTACCTTTAAACAATGACAACTCTGCTGGGTTATACTTTAAAAGATAAAAACAGGCTGCCATTGAGGAATGAGGGACATCTTTTATGGTTACTGTTGCTCCTTTGAATTGATATGCACTTACTCCTCCCTTTTTTTTTTTTTTAATTAATACATTTTATTGAAATATAATTTGTGTCCTGTGAAATACACAAAACTAAAGTGACATGGGTCAATGCATTTTTCTAAACTTCTGAACTTGGGAAGAAAATTACTTCTCACTTATTATCTCATTATCCAACATTTTACATTTATGACAGTAGTGAAAAATCTACTATCCAGCTGTCTTGCCATTAATGACATACATTTGGCAGTAACAAATGCCAAGGTGTGAGGAGAAAGTAACTCTGGTTGTGATGGACCATGATTCTTGGTGGTTTGGCAGTTATATAATGATGTCATTTGGCAGTTGTTTAATGATATAATTTGGCAGCTAAGTAATGATGTAATCATCCTCCATTTTGTGATCTGATGTGATCATCCTTCATTTTCACATGATGCCAATTTTCTCATAATGACCTGGTCTTTGGAATCTAACCATTTATATAAGTGAGGAGTAGGTATTGTTGTTACGTGCTGTTGAGTCAGACCTGACTCATAGCAACCCTTCCTTGGGTTTCCGAGGCAGTATCACTATGGAAGTAGATTGCCCCATCTTCCTTCCGAGGAGTGGCTGGTGGGTTTGAACCGCCAGTCTTCTGGTTAGCAGTCAAGTGCCATAGGCACTATGCTACCAGAGCGCCCCAAAATGTTTATATAATTCTTTTTTTTTTTTGTATATAATTACTTACTGTTTCTGTATATAAGAGGATGTCTGCATTCGTAGACCAGGTACATAATTTTGGATGTCATCATTTTCCCTTCATTATTTTACTGCTGTTAAATTAGGTCACAGACTTGTTTCTTAGTGGGGCACTTCTCTCACTGGTTCCACTGGCTCCATTGTTCTCAGCAAAATTGTTCTCCTTTGTGCTTCACACTGGACAGTCAGAGCCTTTCTCTTCTTACCGCCTTTCAGTGACGCTTTCCTTGGAAATAGGATCTCAGGTACAGCAGGTTCCTTACCTAAGAGGGAGAGGACAAGTAAAGTGTGCAGGCCTTCCATTTCCTTATCCCATCTTTATTTTTTGTTACCTTCTTAGCTTTAGTGATGCTATCGAAAGGACTTTTTGTTACTAGTTAAAAACTTCTGTGAAGCTCGATTTCAAATGCTTCTCCTTTCTGTTCTAATTATCCTTTTAGCTTGCTACTCTTTTATATTTCCCTGGCTGGTCATTAGCCATTTTCTCAAATCAGCTGTAATTGATTCGTCTGGCAGTGCGATAAGGTGACCCACCCAGCATTCATGAGTGATTTTATATGTTCCTAGGTTTACTATAAAACCTGAGATAGAGGACAAAACCTGTTCTGGTAGTGAGGACATGTGTACTCCTTATAAAGTCATTTGATTAGATCCATATTCAGCAACTGATCTCTCAAAGTATGGCCAATCTTCATTTACCAAGGGGGGCCAGGCAATGATCCCCTTCAGAGAAAAGAAATGAGAGGATTGGGGGTGGGGGGGACATGTGTTTTTTGTTTATTTGTTTTGATCCAGAAATTTAAGGGAAACTTTTCTAAGGGAGAGATGAAAAGTTAAGCTGATTTAGGAACACAGGAAGCCTTCTATGCAGATCACTTGGTACATTCAGTATAACTACAGCTTAGTCTGTAAAGCATGGGCTTCCTTGTCCCACCTAATATTGTTTTCATAATGTAGGACAAATTATATTGCAGAGAAATACAAAAGACTATAAACTGTTTTTCACTACATTACAATTTTGGGTATGTTTGCGTCTTTTTTTGGAAATAAATGGTTTAAGATTTTTCAAATTCATTAGCATCTACTTAGAAGAGACAACGATTTGGCAAGAAGAAGGCACCATGTGAAAAATTGCTTGCCTTTCATTCCCTCTGATCAGCCTCAGGAGCAGACTTACAAAGTCAGTAACTTGTGAAAATGATAGCTGTGCTCATTTTATGCTGTCATCACACATCCAGTCTCTGCTTCTCTTTCTTGTAGATCAGTCAAAACAAGTTGTAGTTGAATCTCTGTACATTATCAGCTGCTATGGGACCTTAGTGGAGCATATGATGGAACCACGACCCCTTAGCACTGCCCCCAAGATTAGTGATGACACCCCACTGGAAATGATGACATCCCCGCGAGCCAGCTGGACTCTGGTCAGGTAGTATCTCTTGATTTCTTTTTTTTTTCTTAACAGCTTTATTGAAGTATAAAATATTAAAAATTTACAATTTTTTATAAGTTTTGACATATGTATACACCTGTAAAACTATCACTACACTCAAAGTAATAAACATATCCAACTCCCCAAAGGGAACTCCGGTGGCGTAGTGCCTAAGGCACTTGACTACTAACCAGAAGGCTGGTGGTTCAAATCCACCAGCCACTCCTGGGAAGGAAGGTTGGGCAATCTACTTCTGTAGTGATACTGCCTTGGAAACCCAAGGAGGGGTCGCTATGAGTTGGATCCAACTTGATGGCAATGGGTTTTTTTTAGAAGCCTGGCGGTTCAAATCCACCAGCCACTCCTCAGAAGAAAGATTGGGCAATCTACTTCCTCAATGATACCGCTTCAGAAACCCAAGGAGGGGTCACTATGAGTCGAGATCAACTCAGCAGCAGTGAGTGTGGTTTTTTGGTTTATAACCCAAAAGTTTTGTCCTGCCCCTTTGTAATCTCTTTCTCCTACCCTGAGCCCTAGGCTACCACTGATTTTCTTTCTGTTACTAAAGACAAGTTTGTATTTTCTAGAATTTTATACAAGTGGAATCATACAGTATGTACTCTTTTTTGTCTGACTTCTTTCATCTGGCAAAATTATTTTTAGATTAGTCCATGTTGTTGCATGTACCAATAGTTCATTCATTTTTTAAATTGAGATATAATTTATACTCCATAAAATTCACTCCTTTAAAATAAATTTTCACAAGTTTGTGCAGCCATCACCACAATCAATTTTGGAATATTTTCATCAGCCCCAAATTAGCCCTGTACCCATTAGCAGTTGCTCTCAATTTCCACCCAACCCTCCAGCTCTAAGCAATCAGTTTACTTTCTGTCTGATGGATTTACCTGTTCCTGCCATATTACATCATATAATGTGTGCTCTTTTGAGTCTGTTTTTTTTTTTTTTTTCAATTAGCCTAATATTTTTAAGGTTTATCCATGTTGTAGTGTGTGTCAATACTTCATTCCTTTTTAATGGCTGAATAATATTCCATTGTATGGATATACCACGTTTTGTCTGTCCATTCAAATTGATGGACATTTGTTTTGTCTCTTTTTTTTTGGCTATCATGAAAAATGCTGCTGTTAACATTGGCTGTAAATTTTTATATAAAGATGTTTTCAGTGTTCTTGGTTATAACCAAAAAAATAAACTCACTGCCTTCAAGTTGATTTGACTCATCATGACCTCTCATTGGGTTTCTGAGGCGGTATCACTAGGGAAGTAGCTTGACCAATCTTCCTTCGGAGGAGTGGCTGGTAGGTTTGAACTGCCAGCCTTCTGGTTAGTAGTCACATGCCTTAGGCACTATGCCACCAGAGTGCCTAGGGAATTACCTCCTTTTGAACTTTTTTGCTCCCTTATATTACCTTCCTTTGAACTTCTTTTCCATTCTCCCTTATAGCACCTCCATGCTTCCCTTGTTTTCAGTCTCATGCTCACTGAAAATACAGGGTTGCATTGAGGCAGCCAGTAAGGGGAATAATAGAAATAGATTAGAAGGTTTCCTTCAAAGTGATTCCCCAAGATAAAATGGTTAAGCACTGTAGAAATGTTTATTAAGAACCAGAGTCCTTCCCAAAAGTGTGTAATGATTAGAATCTTTACGAGCTAGGACAAAGAAGGAGAAATAAAAACCTGGAAATAGCTCAAGATAGTGCATTGTCCAGGAGAGACAGAAAAATTGCTCCTGACGTGTAGGGAAGGAAACAGACAAAAATGGATATGAAAATGATCCCTCTGCTTTTGACATTTTAAATTTAAAATATTCTTATATTGATTTTTCTAGGCTCCAGCATTCTTTACTACTACTTTATGGCTTTTGGATTGATCTGATCAATATCTGATTTATCAAGCTATATAGGAATGAGCAGATCTAATTAAAGTTACAGCACCATCATTATTGAGATGGGTGGCTTATTTTGGAACTCAGATGTTAATTAGGTCTATAAGAAATCTTCCATTCACACGGCTGTAGGCTTTTAGAGAACGATTTTTCCAGATTTATTTTCTTTTAAAATATATATGTGTTCTAGAAATAGAGTTTTAACAGTGATCAGAAATTATGTAAAATTAGTTGCTTAGTTGTAACATTTCCGTTCCGTACACTCTGTCCAACCCTCTGACTGTGTTTTTCCTATTGGAGAATCTTCTACTATTAGGTTAATATCGGCTTCATGTAATTTGTCTGACTCACTGCCACCTTTTTATTCTCCTTAAACAGATGGCCTTGTGTTTCAGGTTTCAGCACTCCCAACAAGTTTATTTTAATGATTACACAGATAGTGTGAGTTTGTATCAGTGTCTATAAGTGATGACAGTGATGGTGCTTTACATCCTATCCATTAAGCTTTAATGTTAATGTTCTTCTGCTTAGAACCCCTCAATGGAATGAATTGCAACCACCATTTAATGCAAACCACCCTCTGCTCCTCGCTGCAGATGCAGTACAGTATTATCAGTTCCTGCTTGCTGGCCGTAAGTAGTTCTGATTGGTTTTTTCCTTCCATATGGTGTTTTCAGATTTCATCTTAAAATGCTGACTATTAAAGGAGCCATGCACATTAGCACTGTCCATAGGCCAAAGGTCTTAAACAATCAGACTTAGGCCAAGTGAAATAAATACAAATATAAACTGTAAGCCTTAGCACATGTTAAGAATGCCTTCTGGCTTTCTTAATGATATAGGTAAATGCAGGGAAATACCTGATGGGATCAAAAATTAAAATGAGGATACTGGTATATAATCAAAGTTTCACAAAGCTTGGTATCTATTTCTAACATGAGGAAACCTTAAGAACTTTTCACTATGAAAACTGTTACCAGCAGGAATTTCATTTTATTGAATTTTGCTCAATAATATAGTAATGATTACACAGTAAGTTTTATCTTTTTTATGTGATAACTCCATTTTTATTTATTTATCTGTTTGTTGAATACCTGAGCCCTAACAGTGGTAAATACTGAACTAGGTTCTTTTTCACTCAAGGAGAAAATGTACATTGAGAGCTAGATACAACTGTTTTTATATGGGAGGCATTAAAAGACAATTTAATGTTTAATATGTAGTTTGTGGCCATAGAATTAAAAATACCTTACAGTTATATTCAGTGTTTTAGAATGGACAGGATCCTTAATTTAACTCAATGGCTTGAGTATTGAATGTTTTTAAGAAACTCCTCAAAAGTCAACATTGGCCTGTTTCTTGCTGGGTGGTGTTGTATTCAAGTTATTTTTCCTGGCTGTATTATAAAGCATGAATTAAAAGCCTTCAAGAACTATTGTATATAATGTTTATAGCATATAGTATACTATAATAGAAACATATATGAAGTGCAAAAAGCCCTACAGTGAAGAAACTTGGTAATTATAATGAATAATCAGCAATCTTGCTTTCAGTTGAACTCATTGATTCTTCCAGCAGGTATTTATTGAGTGCCTACTATGTATCAGGCATTAGTGATTTAAGGGGAAATAGTGTATTGCTTCTGTGCTCAGTGAAGTTCCTGTCTAATTCAGAAGATAGGCATTTAAGAAAAGAAGCAAAAAAAAAAAATGAGATAGGTACCTCAGTGAAGGGTTATACAGTGAACTATGAGAGCAGTGACTTAAGTTGCTAAAGGCTTGACAGAGGAATGATATGTAATCTGAGTTCGTAAAACACAGATTGGATTTCCTTAGATAAAGAATTAGTAGAAGAATGGACATTTCAGCAGAGGAAAGAGCATATGCAAGAAGCCGGGGCATAGGACATGCCATGGAACTTGGACTTCATTCTGTAGGACAGTGGTCCTCAGATTGGTTTAAGAAACAGAATACATACAAGTTGTTATACTCTAGGTTCCCTAAGCATGTATTTAATTCTATTGTATGAACTGGGGGGAAAAAAAAACCACCATGTCTTGTATATGATATCAAATTAAAACCATGAGCACATTTTCTGCTACCTCTCAAAAGGGGCAAAAATCAGTCACCAGTGGTTGAACTATGTATAGTTGACTCTTTCTGAGTTAATATGTGTTTTGATATTTTGATACATGTTAGGTGTGTTTAGTAGGAAGTTCTAAATATTTAAGGATACAACTACTTCCATCTCTTCATTCTTTTTTTAAATTCTGGTAAACTAAGCTGATTGCCATTAGTATTATTATTAGTATTTATTCCTGTGAACACCTGTGATACATTCTTAGAACAACAGAAATCCCCAAACATCAGAATTAGACTTGAGAAAATTCATTCTAGCAGTTTCAGTAAGGGGTTCTGAGGAAGACAATGGACAGTGGAAACTCTGTGGTCCTGGAGCAAGATGAGAGGTTTTTTGTTGTTGTTGTTTTCCAGTTTGTTTGCTTTTATCTTTTAAATTGTGTTGTGTATTTGGGTAACAAAACACTTGCCCTTCCACAGTCTTTACATTTACAATTAATGTTTTAATTAAGACTGTATGACAGAGAAGACACAACAGACCTGTGAGACATTAAAGAGTTGGAATAGATAAGAATTAGAGACAGTTTGAAAGAAAGGAGTCATTGATAATTCTACCTCTTTCTGATTAAAATATAGAATATAATGTGTTTCATGTGAGACTTTTGGGATCCCACATAGACTGAGCACTGGGATAAGGATGAAAAGGCATGGGTTCTAGTTCCAAACCACCTCTTAATAAATTTGCTCTTCTCTCATAGAGGTATTATAAAGATAAATGAAATGATGCTAAAGTTCTTTTCAAAACTATGGAACAATAATTAACTATAAAGCATCACTATATGCCTTCGTTTCTTGTCTCAGAAGTACGCATTTCAAACAATTGGCTTTAAGGGGTTTAATAAAATTTACAAGCTACTTTTAATACTCAGCATTTATGATGGAATTCAGATTTTGACTCTGTGGTTCTGACTATGTTGTAATTAGCTGTTATCTAAATGATAGACATCTCAAACCAAACCAAACACACTGCCGTTGAGTTGGATCCAACTCATAGTGACCCCTCCTTGGGTTTCTGAGGTGGTATCACTACGGAAGTAGATTGCCCAACCTTCCTTTCAAGGAATGGCTGGTAGGTTTGAACCACCAGCTTTCTGGTTAGCAGTCAAATGCCTTAGGCACTATGTCACCAGAGCTCTCGATGGCAGACATGCTAATGGCAGACACACTAAGTATAATTAATAACTTCCCTCTTATCCTTGTGAATGTAACTCTTCCCATAGTTTAGTAGATTAAAAAATACCTAAGAGACAGGTAATTCTGTAATAATTATTATATTGCTTCTTTACATCAGGAGGTAGAGACACAATGCGGGTGGGTTTTCAATTGAGGTTCCCTTACATAAGAAAGGGCACATGGTAAAGCAAACTATTTAATAGGCAGACCTGAAAATGCCAGTATATTACATGACTGAAGCAATTAAATATGCAAAACATGGACATCTGAGCCCAGGAAGTAAAAGCCTGAAACAGAATTTGTAAAAGCTGCGCTGGCGCCAGTTTAAAGGCAACACCTTCACCCACCCATCTTTTGCACGCTTTCTGCAAGTTAGAGCCCCAGTTAAGAAGACGGTCATTATTCTCTTACTTTCTGTCCCGATTCTTCTCATTGAAACCATTTAAAATGATATCATTACCTCTTAAAAACACACTGTACCTGATACCAAAAAAATTTTTGCTTTACTTAGCCATATTGAAAATCACCTCTTGTTTCTCAGCTTAAGGACTTTCTTGATATATATTTTTCTAAAAGTATTTTCAAATATAACTATTCAGGGTACGTTAGAAACTAGGAACACTTCTAACTTTAGTATAAACTACACAGATTTTGTAAGCATTTTCTTTGGTTGTTTTTGAATCTCAGGATCAAGTGAAACAGACTTGTACAAACTCCGGAAATTATAATAATAGTTGACAATGAATGATGTAAATGGAAATAGGAAAGAGACTTTGAGGGAGAAGAGAGGAGGAGAGCAGGATGTTTAGCAAGGAATCCCCACACCCCTCCCTGTAATCCTAATAGATAAACTTCTAGTTGATAAACAGAGTTCTGTGTATGTGGCAAAATATTGTATGGTAGAGGAGATAAGGAAGAACCTGAAATTCAAACGCCTCTTACCAAACTTTGAAGTGAAGTAAGTAAACACCCTGAGTTTTGTATTCTAAACTATAGTCCCATTTCCTACCTATACTAATTGAATGGAATTACCAGAATTTAATATACCAGGTTTATTATACCATAGGTTAGATCATAGTAGAATGCTTCTTACAAGGGTTACAATAGAGGTGGTAATGACTTTTTGTTATTTGGTTGAATATATAAAGTTGCCATCTGGATCAGGCAAAAGTGGTCAGATGTTACCAATTCCATATGACTCAGCCTGTTGTTGTTGTTAGGTGCCATCGAGACTCACAGCGACTGTATGTCCAGCACAACGTAACACTGTGCCAGCCTCACAATCCTTGCTGTGCTTGAGCCCATCATTGCAGTCACTGTGTCAGTCCATCTCATTGAGGGTCTTCCCCTTTTTTGCTGACCCTCCACTTTACCAAGCATGATATCCTTCTCCAGGGAATGGTCCCTTCTCACAACATGACCAAAGTACATGAGGTGAAGTCTGGCCATTCTCGCTTCTAAGGAGCATTCCAGCTGCACTTCCTCCAAGACAGATTTGTTTGTTCTTCTGGAAGCCCATGGTACCTTCAGTATTCTTGCCCAGCACCACAATTCAAATGCAACCTGGTTGATTGATTAAATTATATGTGGAAACAGAATGCAATCTTGTTATATCACTTAGTAAACTTAGGTAACAGTCAAGAATCTAATATCCCAAAGTTGTGTTGCCTTGGCTTTATGGAGTATGCCTTGGGAGTAGTTTATAAAAAGATTCCAGCAGAGAAGATTAGTGATTTTTGTGTTAACTTTTTTTTCTTCTTTCATACAATAATTGCATATTATAATTACCTTTTTACCTTTTCTAACATAAGCATTTTATTTCAGTATTTTTCTTGCCAAAAATAAAGATAAACGTAATAGACCAACAAATATCACCAGCTTTTGAATATGATCCCACAGTAGACAATTACTTTTTCTTTAGTCTGCATTAGGGCTTCTAAAATTATGAATTAAATGCAGGGCTGAATGAGTTAACACAGGAAAGTTTTATTTGGGGGGGGGAGGAATGGTGTTTCCTCCTTTTCTTTTAGGTGATTTGGCAGCAGCAGTTTTTCAAAGTTGTTGACGTTAGCTAGCTTCTTAAGGAGTCAGCCCTGGAATTTATTTCTTAGACAATCTACCTTTATGTCAGAAGTTCCTCCCTAAACTTACTGAGGTTTATTGTTAAATAGTATCAAAGAACTATTTAATAGAAATACAGCTCTTACACACTATAGAAAGGTGAATGGAATCCATAGAACTTCTTTACACCTGTATTTTATTTGGAATGTAATTGCTTTCCACTGTTTTTCAAGGCATTATAGGAAAGTTAGAGAGAACCT